ACGGAAACACTCGGTCAGTGTCATTCAGATACAAATTATTACGGAATATGCCATCGCAATGCTCAAGTCACGTTTGTTGCAGTCCGTATCATCCAACCCGACTTACAAAACATCGAATCATGGTATTAATTCTTCAATGGACTGCCTCTCTTTGTTCATTCACAATTATCCGGTGTCGCAAATGAGATTATCTTGACGAAAATACACCTCCTGGGTACATGTATATTAATGAACTGACAAAAGATTACCGGATACGCATGCCTGATAAGTGGCAAGAACCGCGAAAACGGTCGTGTGCTTCCAGGGAAACTTTGTTCAGTCATTCAAATACTACTTATTACGAAATAACACCAATCTTTATAGATACGGAGCCAAACTAAGCCCTGAGTGAGTGTATTATAACTTGCTGTCGGGACAAAAGTAAAAAGTAGTTCATACGACGAACTTCGTCCTGTACAGAGATCAAATGAAGCGCGTGTGTAATGAAAAGATAGGGAAAGTAGCGGACAATTGTTTCGACCTGGTCTAGTCTCTCACCTCACACCAGGGCTCAAATCCATCGATTTAACCGAGGACTGGACCCGGGACCTCGCCGAGGTAAAACGCAAGCATACTGTCCACTCGGTCACCGGTTTTCGTTTTGTCTTTGCACAAAAATGGACACAACCACCTAATCTTTGCGAGCTTGTTGCGGGCATCACACCTCAGTGCAAGCCTCGAGCGTTATGGTTCGATTGGAAACATTCAAACCTGATTACATCACTAAGCATTCGGTGGTTGGTTTTGATCGTATTACTCCGCAAACAAACTGTTGACAAGACTCAAGCGTGATGGCTAGAAATTCATGCGACAGTGCTTAAACGTTAAGGGTGAAGATTAGGCTAACACGGGGAACACTTCAGTTGTGCATTGTCTAACAGTCACACAAAGGAAAAGAGAGAAAAATCCAGTATTATCAAACATTGTTCTTAGGTTACTATTGAATCGACAAACTAAGCGGGATGATCGAAGTGATGCTTGTTCTTCCTGCAATAGATAAGACCTCATGAAATGACTGCTCTATACAATGCGTTTGAGAAGTTCTCCTAGCATCACGTGTGTAAGAAGTCGTTATTTTGGGCTAAAGAATCATTCGTTCGCCCAATATACTGCATCGAGAAAGTCCCGAACCACACCAAATTGGAAAGCTACTCTGACTGTTCTGTGAGCGTTAA